CAGCTCCAGCAGACGGCCCCCAAAAGGGTTCCCCCTCAGAGGGGTCGCTGCCAAAGACGGAGAGGGCGTTTCAGGAGCGCCTCCCGGCTGATCTGGTCCAGGGGGGGGGGAACCGATCCCCCGTGGAAGATTCACCGCCAGGCCTGGAGGAGATCCGGCGAATCGGGAAGAGGAGAAGACGACTTTTCTGTTTGTTCTGCCTCTAAATAATACAGCACGATGACAGCCAGCAGACAAAGGCGTTTGTGGACGGGATCCACACCAGAACGCTTGGATTACAGATAAGAGCAGACTTTTTTCTTTTTTTAAACATTTCGCTCTGTTTTAAAGGTGGATGGGACAGTGTGGAGACCTCCTCCCAGAGTCTGACCGTTTGAGAAAAAAGCCAGAGAAGCTACTGCACTGTAAGGCCTCACACGGGCCGCTTCAGCATCTATTAGCCAGCACACACATTCATTATTTCTTGCATTAAATTGCTCTGCTTCGGGGTGAAAAAAAAAAAAAAAAAAACTAAACAAATGACTACCAAGTAATTGTATCCAAATTCTCTAAACGTGATTAAACATAAATGCGTGAAGTCTCGCCTCGGAGATTTGGCCCTGAATAATTCAGGACGCTGTATTATATTGCTTTTGGAATAATTCTGCCCTTAAAAATGCTTCATTTCAGCCGGCATATTTTGTTTTTCCTTTTTACTTAATGTTTGTGCATTTGAAAAATAATTGAGGGAGCCTGTGTGCTGCTGAATATTTCATCTAATGCCTCCAATTTTTTCAAATTTCCACCAGCTGAAGGATGGCTTTTGCCCTCCCCGAAAGAAAAAAAAAAAAGAAAAAATAGAGGGATATGAATTTTTCAAGCATTTTAAATAATTAAGCTCAAAGTGTTTGGAGGGCCGAAAAGCCCTGATAAACTAATCTGAGACTGGGGGGAAATGAAAAGAGGTCTGAGAGGGACATTAGAAATTTATTATTTTATCAGCAGCTATTTATTATTAACATTGAGAGATCCCATTAGCATTCACAGACAAAGGGACTCCGGGGAGGATGCCCTATGGATTTCAAGGTGATACATTAAAACTGAGAAGTTAGGGAAGGAGAAAGCATCTGCTGCAGACCCCCATCTGCATATTAACTCACATCTTTCCAGCCGGGGAGCCAGCGGGGTTCCTTCAGGTGGATTTTGTGAGTGGACGGCAGACCGAAGACATCAAACAAAAAAAACAAAAAACGGGACCGGAGAGGAATCTTTTTGAGAAACCTCCGAGAGCAAAGACACAAAGGTTAAAGCCCTTTGAGGGATAAAGCCTGAATAACTTGATGGGGGAGAGGCGAAATCGGTTTCTTTAGGCCGGGTTTACGAACAGGACGAGGGGAATAATGCAGAAGGTCACGGGACTCCCATGATGCACCTCTCCTCGTCCCTCTATAGGCCCAGACTGCTGGGGGGGGCTCCCATGATGCATTTCACCCCCATTTATAGACCCAGACTGTTGGGGGGGGGCTCCCATGATGCACCTCTGCTCCCTCTATAGGCCCAGACTGCTGGGGGGGGCTCCCATGATGCACC